GGGATGTTATAGTGGAACACACCTATTCCATTGTTAATAGACTCTCGCATCTATAATAAGTAGGAGTAGTAGCAGTTGCTAAGGGGCCCAGTGAGTTGGTCAGTCAGTCAATGTCGGACGACCGTTAGTTGGATACTAAAAGTATCAGCGACCACCACTAGATTTCTCTGCGTCATTACCTATTATATCAAGTTTCTAATGTTTTGTACGTCGAACCTATTTTAGGACCGACTTAGTGAAATACAAACCTCCACTGTGAAACTACTCTACAACATTTAACAACCATAGAGAAACTTTTCTTCCTGTCAACAGCATAGTTGACACTAGACTCCAGGTGAGCAACACACTGTGCCCTTTTGGCCTCATATTTTCAACTGACTTGAAGTAGAGCAAATCAATAGCTGCATCTACTGCAAGTAAAGTTAGGTCACTGAGTCATGCCAGAAATTTATCTCATCAGAGTCTATCTTGCACATTCATTGGATACTGCTGCCATATCTGGTCAGGTGCTCCTGCTATATATCTCGAGGGTTTTGACAAAATCCAAAGAAGGATCTGCAATGTAATCGATCCTGACTTGGCATCTCAACTTCAATCAATTTCTCACCAACATGGCATGGCTTCCTTCTGTCTTTTCTACAAATATTTTCATGGCAAATGCTCTGATGATTTTTTTTTCCCTGGTGCCTCGACTACATGAATCTAAGCATGCTACTAGATTGGTATCTATGTCCCACCCGTTCACTGTTGAAATAGGTAAATGCAACCGTCACTACTACTCCAACAGTTTCTTTTTCTTGCACTTCCCACCTGTGAGACTCCCTTCTGTCTACTTTGCTTCCCCAATAGCTACAATTCAAATGCAACATCAATTGCCATATTCTATCTTCTTGAATGCCATTCATCTTTTGTCCTTTCCTCAACCCTCCCTATACTCAGTCTTTTCTCTCACTTTCATCCCCTGTAACCATATATGTATGTGTAGACTAGTATATATACATGTACATATAGCAATATTAAATATAGTGATAAATAAAATTAAATAAATCAATAAAAGAACATTTGGTAAACCTGGAAAAATGTGCCTGCAAAAAAAAAAAACTGATTGTCAAAACGTTAGTTTTTCCCATGACACCTCTTTTATTTTAACTACCTTCACTCTTCAGCAATGTTTATTGTCTTAAATAAAACCTAAAAATATGATGAAAGTTAATTTATACATGTTTTTTCTTGAGAATTTACAACAAAAATATTAAATGGTATTTATTTATTAAATTATTTATTTACAAGACTAATTTTTATTCATAAATTTATAAACATTTACTAGATTATTAAAATATGTAAACCAACTATAAGGAAACCCATATTTTCCATTTTATAAAGTTTGAATATAGCAAAGAAAACGGCGACTTACCTCATCAAACCAAGCGACAGCGCGTTGCATGTATCTTACGACGGAAAATGTGGCGAAAAAGAAAATTACTTACCAAAAAAGAGGGCACGTATTCTGCATGACATGCTGAAGATGAAATATTTAAATTAAAAAACAAGTCCGTTGCAGGAGTTGTTATACAAGTATTTTGATATGCAAAAATTGGGCATCCTCTCCAAGCCATCGACGAATGGAAAAAATGCTCGGCCGATAAAAGCAGTTGGTGTTCTCGAATCGGGGAGTTGGTGTATTTTGGCTACCACGTTCATTGTAGAGTGTGTTATCTTTCTGATTGGTTGCATGCATTGTGATTTGTGAGATAGAACCTGCAAATCGAGTTTTTGGCATTTCTTTCTGCCCCTGATGCTCGAATCTGGACAGTGATTTATTCTCTGCATTGTGGAATTAATCTGTAACAAATATTTCCTTTGCAATCCCAGATTGCTTACATTGAATCAATTGGCAATGTTTTGCCAACAGTAAATAAACAATCTAATAAATAGGGTTGATTATTTTTGTTGTAAATTCTCAAGAACAAAGAAAATATATAAATTCACTTTCATATGTTTAGGTTTTATTAAAATTCTAATCATTGTTTTTTAAAATAATAAACATTGACAAAGAGTGAAAGTAGCTAAAAAAGCAGTGTTAATGGAAAAACCATGCTTTTGGCACTGTCTTATTGCGAGCATGTTTATCCATGTTGGCCGAACATTTTAACTGGTCTTAAATTTAAATGTTAAGTTTTTAATGAAGCTCTAACATAATGAGAATTTGAAATTTGAAATTTATGATTAGTGTTTGTTTTGAGGATTGTAAATGTGCGATCTAATAATTTCAATGGATTTATCTGACACTGATGAGTAATTTGGTACAAAACTCTGAAGTCAACCAATGAGATAAACCCATTGAACATTCATTGATTTCTTGAAGAAATATTTTGTGTGTGTGTGTGTATATATATATATATATATATATATATATATATATATATATATACACATCTAAAAATTTGTATACCTTTTTGAAGCTTTCCTCCATCTTCAATTGAAGGCTAAAGGATTAAATTTTCTAATTCAAGAAAAAGAAATATTTCAAATTTGAATGATTTTTAGCCGATTCTTCAAAAAAACCATCAAAACAACCATTCTTAACCTTTTTAGAGAAATGTAAACAAAAGTTATTTTGGTTTTGAAAATCCTGATAATATACATTTCTGAAATGTTACTTTCGTAAAAAATTGCAAACAATTTATGTAAAAATTAATTATTCATCGAAAATTTTTTAAGAAGTTGGGAATAGTTGTGAAAAAAAAAATGATTTATTTTCTCCAAGAAGTTCAACTTATAAGTAATATAAGACAATTTGCAAACTATTTAAAATTCTAGAAAATTTCATGAAATTAGGCTATGCAGGTGGGGGGAGTAACAGTTGTAAAAAAATATATATTTTTACCAAGATTTTCTAAAAATAAAAGTTTCAAAAGTAAATTCATTCATTTTTGAATAAGTCCTGAAAGTTTCATTAAAATCAGACAATTATTTGATTTTTGCAAGAATTTCCAAATTCATGTGTTTTATACTGGAATCTGCTGCACTAAAAATGTCCATTATCACAAGTCTTACAGAGTTGACAAAAAAAAAAAACAAGATTTTTGAGGCAAATTTAGAACATGTTAGAAAGGAGGAAAATTTAAAAAAAAAAAAAATAATTAAAAAATACTTTGTTCTTTCCTCTTAATAATAACATAAACATTTTGAGGTTAAAACTTATTTTATTAAGTTTGGGGCCTTTTATCATCATACTATACTGTTTTTTTTTTCTATTTTTGTTTTTGTTTTTTTTTTGTTTTGTTTTTTTAGCGAATTATTGAAGCTACCTAAACCATCATATGTACAGTTTTATTCATGTAGGAGAGGATAAGATTTTACAAAGAACAAAATAGTTTGAATAAAATGTTACACGAAGACACCCCCCCACCTCATCTTAATCATGGTAAAAAAAAGTGAGTTAACCGTTCAAAAATATACTCAGGACTATTCGCTTATTTGTACTTGTTACTTGCACTGATTTAAGATATTTGCTAAACTTAGTTTGGAACAAGGCTGCAACAAAGGATCAATCTCAGTACTCAGTAGTAATTATCAGTGAGACTGTCTTGCTAGCCATTATAACTATGACAGAGCACCCTGTTAACACAATTTTAACATAAAATGACTTTTGTTTCTGATTGGTATTTTATAAACATTTCAATTTGGAGTTGCAAAGATTTTTTTGATCAAGGGAAATAACTCCTTAAGTTTGGTATAATGAAATGAAATCAGAAAATTGGAATTGGTATATTCTGAAATTTAATATTTGTCTTTTCTTTCTTTTTTTCTTAATCTTGCCTATTGATTATTGTTTCTGATAATATTATTAATTTAATACACTCTATATGTTTTACTCACTTCCAAGTCTATTACTCTATGAATCTTCTAGATAATATACTTATAAAATCATCTAATACTGGACTATAAACAGTAACTTACAGCAATATGAGAATCTTATTGGTCCCCTTTCAAGTTTATGAGACTACTCTCTTTTGTACTTGGGATGAATTTTCAAATTATAAAATAAGTGTGCAATTTTTGATTCCTGGAACAAAATAATTCTTCCACTGGGAAAATTATTAAAAAATAACCATGTCATACACATAAATATGAAAATTGAAGGAAACATTTAATCCTGCCCAAAACACACTAGTTTATATGCCCAAGTCAGATCCTATAGCACACTAGTTTATACACCTAAGTAAAACCCCAAAGTACTAGTTTATACTTCCAAGTAAGTATCAAAAGCACCCTAGTTTATAGACCTAAGTAAAACCCTAAAAATGTACTGGTTTATACCGACTGAGTAAGAGCCCTTCAGTATTAATCTTCTCATTTTTTACCTTTTAAAGTCATTTTCTTTTGTGTTTGAATTTCTGAGATGAGGAGTTATTATTATTTACATTATGTATACTTGAACAGTTGTCATCAATTTTGTTGTTATTGAACCCTCCGTTATTATTGTCAATCCAGGTAACCTTCAAGGAACTTCAAACTGAAATTTATGAGGGTAGATTGTTCTCATTCTGATGACCATATCTAGGGATATCCAATTTAGTTCTTATTTAGTATTACTAAGTTATTGCTCAAATCATTTCCACTTGATCCAAATATGCATTACCCAGTGCAGGAATTGAACTCAGAATAATATTCTGAACTCACAATTATTGTGTCACCAAATTCTCAAATTAATACTTTCATCCTGAATGGAGAGCTTGGAGACTTAAACCTCACCTATCTGCTGATGATGAACTGCTACTTGTCATGACTGAACTCACTAAGGTTTCTCATTTCTACTGCTTAGTTAATCCCTCAAATATTTTTTATCCTCTTTGAATAATTGCGTTCATCATGCAAACCCAAATATTTTGGTTTCATTTATTATAATTTTGATTTTCATAATAGAATATATAAATAATTAAATAAAGATTTCCTTCATTTCAATTTTTTTAATTGATGTACCTTTTATATTGCAGTGTATCGAAAACAAACAAGCTTTGGAGTAGACATATTGTCATTAAATACAGGCTGGAGCAGTTCTATGAATACTTATGGTGCACGGATCCTTACACAGGAAGCTGACTTGGTTACTGCTCATGGTCAGTACAAACAATGATCGACATTTATTTTAGTATGTACAGCAGAATGTCTGTTATCCATACTCTGATTATCCAAACCAAATTTAAAAATTCTCTAAGTATTTAATTTTATAATAAACTTTCTTTATTCGTTTATTGCTGTTTGCATATCTATAGGGAGAAAGTGATTAGTTAGTTTGATGACACTCAGACATTTTAAACAGTGTTGAAATAATTTTAATGGCAACATTATCCATTTCCTTAGTAGGAAACATTTGGTATTTTATGACCAAACAGCTTGTGCAACTTTTGGTTGAAATTTGTAAAATCTTTCTCTTAAAACAATTTTTCAGGAAAATAAGTCCACTAATTGCTATCACTCTTTCCAGTATTGATGGGGATTTTCCTTTAAAATAGTGTGGAACGCCAACATCTTTATTATGTCATTATTTTCTCTTCAAGATGTGCTATTCATCTTAGTAGTTGCTGCTGTTGAAAGTTCTCAAGTGATGTGATTTCTGTTATTTGGTACAGTTCTTTGTGATTCTGTAGTGTCAGTCTATGAGATTCAATTTAATTTTTCATGGTATTGTATGAAGCACAAGATGCTGGTGACATTAAATTGATACATTTTTTTTTATTTTTTTTATTTTTTTTGTTGAAAACAAAGAAACACAAACCTCAAGAAACAGCAACTGAATATTTTTCTCACAAAACAATAATTGATTATCACCGCAATAAGATTTGTTTGCATGAACTTAATGACAAATACAGTGCATTTCTGTGTATATTTATGTAAATTACCTCACATGCCCTTAAATTTTCAGCGCCCTATTTAAGCAAATTTATTTACAAAATAAAATATCATTAATTTTTAAAGAAATCTTTTAAAGCTGTTTTCTCAACTGTTCAACAGTTCAGTTATCTAAATCAGGGTTTTTCAAACTGAGTCCTGAACCTTCAGTGGGTTGCAAGTATAAATAAAATAGGTCGCAACAAAAACTTAAAGAAAACAAACAAAAATATGCAAGTGAAAGCAAAGTACACCTTGAAGCCATAACCCAACATATGTCATTTTGGAATCAGGCCAACTCTGTGAGCAAATTAAAAACTTTCTGGGCCAGATCTGTGATTTTTTGCTACAAATTTTTTTGTATAATAACAATTTTTATAACTTGGAAATAAATTTGGGAATAATCAAAATTAATTGCAAAATCCAGTGAAAGTCACCCATGAAATATGAATAATTGTTTGTATAGAAAGTAAGGGCCTACATACATCAAACTGTCTTTAAATTAAGTGGCGACAAAAGAATTATCATTGATTTTTTTAAAAGGTAAACTTAAATATTAATGTAATGCTTAAATGCAGGAATTAATTTTGAATTCTTCTGTAGTTTGTTGTTGCTTATCGTATCTACTCCTCCCTACCTATTATGATGAAGACCTAATCCTGAGCCCTCCACAGGAGCTAGCTTAAATGTCACCCGGTATGTCAGCTTTTAAGCTAGTATATATATATATATATATATATATATATATATATATATATATATATATATATAATAATAAAAAAAAGACAACCTTAAGGTTCCATAACTATAATCTATTTCCCCAGAAAACATATTTTTCCTGGTTCATCAGGTCACATCTCTAGTTAGGTAACTAGAGATGTGACCTGATTAATATATTTTCTGGAGAAATAAATTATAGTCATGGAAACTTAAGGTTGTCTATTATTTAATTTAGGGTTAATAATTTGTATCAATATCTCAGTTACATTCAAAAAGGTCAAGTCAGGGTAAGGTTGGGGTGTCTAAATTCAAAGCGGAAGATGACATCGTCTAGTCTGGTTAAGTGTCTATGGAGATTTATTTATTTTTATTTTTTTTCCTGGAAGGGTTTTGTGTATATAAAAAAACTGTCATAATTCACTAACATTTGTTTTTTTGACGACTTCATAAAGGGTTTTTTTTTTTTGTTTTGTTTTATTGGGTAGGGCATTTAAACTTTTTATTTAGACTATGGAGATTAAAATTTGTATTTATTATTTAATTGTTTGTTTGTTTTTTATGCTAATTATTCAATGTGAAAATTTGATGATGTTGGCAAAAAACCGTTAACTCATGTCTATTGTTTAATAAATTTTCATTATTTAGAAACTTGATAATGTGTAGTTTTTCATGTAGGCATAAAGGGCATGGGTCGTTCCAAGTTTTACAAATTCTAGTTTTGTTTATAATTTTCCATTTTACTTTTGGTGTTTTATTCATTTCCTTCAAATGCCAAAAATATTTAGATAGAGATGTCTGATTTCTTTTATTAATATTATTGAAGAAGCACTTACGCTGCCTCCATCTGGTTTTAAATCATTCTTCATAGACCCAATGTATATCATATTAGTATTAGGACTCTCAATGGATGAGATAGTACATTGGTATACCACAGATTTTACGCAGCATATATTTTCCAATGGGCAGTCTTCTGGGTTTCTACAATCACATAATTTTTCACTATTTTTGTCTAATTTAAGTGTAGGGTTTTTATTAATACTATTCTGGCATGGGGGTTTATTCAGGATTTTATCATTGTGTTTTTTTATTATACTTTCTAGATTTTCAGTGCAATTGTAACTTAATTTTAGGGTGTTTTTATTAAATATTTTACTAAGTCTACTATTAGTAGGAAAGTGTTTTTCAATTAAAGCTAGGAATTTATGTCCTAGCTTAATACTAACCATTTGGTTGAATGGAGGGGTATACCAAATGATTTTTCTTTTCCTGTTTTTCTTCTGGTTAGCATTTTTGTATCCACTATTTTTTAGGGCTGTGTTATAAAAATTACTGTGTTGTTGGAATATTTCTTTATTAGCAGAGTTAATGCTGATTCTATTCTCTATTGATGAGAGTATATATATATATATATATATATATATATATATATATATGTGTGTGCCATTCTCATTGAGTTTATGTATCTTGTTTGTCAAACTCGTGGACTGAGTAACAGTTTCCTTTAAATTTGTTTTTCTAAAACTAATCACTTTATATTCATACAAATAGATACATGCAATTCCAACATGTGTGGATCATAAATATACATATATATTGTCAATGCTAAGTAAATGAACCTAGTGAGCAGAATTTGTCTTTGATTTATTATATGTAAGTATAATTGGTCACAATGTAAAATGTGGTTCTTGCTGTGGTTTGCAGTAAAAAATAAAAAAAAAACATGCTCTAAACAATATGCTACTCACCCCATCACAATCAGATAACCAATGTTCCACTCTATTTTACAATCAGCTGTCAGGTAATAGCATGTCTGAAAGATAACTAAATAGGTCTGTGCCAAAGTTTTAGTGTTCCAGTTGTTTCCAAAAATTATTATGATTTTTAATCTTATTAATGTTTTTTTAAATACCAAATGTTGCCATATTTTCTCTTCCTCTCTTGGGATTAGATTGTTTAGTCAAACTGTCACTTAGGAAATGTTTCAGACAAACACTTAACAAGCCATTAATTTCTATTTCAAATGTCTATACAAAGAGATAAGCAGTTAATGGTTTGCTTACTTAGATGAAATAGATTTATGCCAAATAAGATTTGCTTTTATTGACATGTTTCTTTTGATACCTTATGTGTTTACTTCTTTTTTTTTTCCATTGCATTTGGTTCGTTTATGGACTTTGAAAAATGGGGAAAAAGAAATTGGTAAGTGTTTGGATTTATTTCTTTAAATAATAATGAGGAAGGAAGGCTTGGAAAAGTTAAACTTGATGGGGTTTATTGAAGGCAAGAGAGAATAGGGAAACTCAGCTAGCTTGGGTGAATGCATGGCAGAAAGGGATGCAGGAACCATAGCAAAAGGAGAAAATTGCTAATGACAACAAAGGATATGATGTTGTGGAGAGCCATAGCCACCTATGTCCTGAAGGGATGCAGTGCATAGAAGGAATATTTAATTTTTTCATTGTTAAATGAGCCATTATTTCATGACTAGGATTTATTAGATAGATAAAAAAAATGTTGTCCTTCTGCTCATTGCAAACACAAATATATATACTGCAGATTTCTTTTCGAGCTTAGGGAAAGCCACAACCATAACAAGTAATACTGCCCCCAAGCCAACAGAAAACAGTTCCCAAATTGGCACCACAGGCCAGTAAAAAATGGTTTCTTCTGGCTAAAAGTGTCAATTTGGGAGTCAGTTTCTGGTGGCCTTCAACACTGATTTGAGAGCCTGTTTTTTTTGCTGGCTTGGGGTGCCAATTCAGGAATTGTTTTTTTTTTTTTTTTTTTTTGGTCTGGGGCACTGATTCAGAAGCCAGTCTTTGCTGGCCTGGGGTGCTGGTTTCTGCTGTCATAAAGCACCAATTTGAGAACTAGTTGCTGCTGACCAGTGGTGCCAATTCAAGAAGTGGTTGCTGCTGGTATAATGTTCTGAGTTGTGTGCCATATACTTTTTAAATCTAATATCATTTACAGAAAGTTATCTTGATATTTAATTGATAATTTATCTCTTTACATTTAAATCTGGTAAATTGAAATCAGTAAAATAACTTTAAAATTTGTAAATCACCTTAATGAATATTTAAGAGTAATCCTCTTTAAACTACGTAATTTTATTTTAAGGTACAAAAGAATGCAAGTTTATTCAAAGTAATTTTGATATAGATGAAATAATTAATATATTCTTTCTGACTTTTATTATGTAACATTTTATATATTTTGTTTCAATATTTATGTATATGCATAGATAGAATTTTGTAAATATTCTTATCAGGACACAATTGGGGTAGTGAACATGACCCAGGTGAAGGAAGATGTGCACCTTCATCCTTTGATAATGGCAAGTTTATTATGTATCCATATGCTGTCAGTGGATATGAAACCAACAATCAGGTAACAAGTTTCACAATTTTCTCATTGCTAATTTTGATAAATCTGTTAAGAAAATTCAGTTTTAGAAAACTTTTATTCTAAATCATAACAAAACAATTTGTGTGCCTCTAACCATTTTCATTTTCTATATTTAGA